AAGGGAAGAAAAGAAAAGGTTAGAGAAAGAGTTTGGGCAAGGGGATTATTTTCCCAGACTCACCAAAAATGAGCTTGATCCCGAAAAAATAGAAGTGGGCACGCGGTTGAAGTTGAATTCAAACTCATTCAAAAATAATTCCAAATGATTTGAATGGGAAGTGAGGTTAGGGAAGGTCCAAAAATGTTGAGACTTTTGGAGGATCCTCAAAAAATGGAGAAAGAATTATCGACAAGGTTTGGAGATCAACTCGAAGCATAAAAAGGCATGGGGAATATTTGCAAGTGTGTTTATGGGTGATTCCAAAAAAATTGGAATATTTGATAATAGCTCCCTATTAATAGTAGGAGACTTTTATATGTTATAAAGAGAATTTCACCATGTGAATTTCCCTCGATTTAAATGGATCTAAGACCCATACAATTTATTTAGTTGAGTTTTTAAAACTAAATGACATGCTGACATGATGACATGATGCAATGCAAAAATAAATAGAGCAAGCACAAATGAAACACACGGAGGTCACGAAAATATGGAAGTCTTCTAGAGCGTCGGTCTTGGGGTGTCACAACTCTCCTCCACTTACAAGAGATCTCGACCCGAGATTTAAGGATGGCACCAAGGAGAAATGGAAGAGGAAGAGGTAAGACAAAGTTGTTTCTTTGACAAATGAGTGAAACCAATGAACCAATGAACGAGTGAAACCAATGAACCTTGAGAGGTTAAAAACTTGAAAGAAGGACACACAGAGTTAAACGGAATTGAGAGCACTCCGGTAGGAAAGAAAAACAAGGAACACCATGTGAATCTTGGAGGTTGCAGAGCTGTGAATGACGAGAACAAAGGACAAGAAGGAATTGAAACCACTCTGGTTGAAACGAGATAAACAAGGAACAAGGAAGAACAAATTCGAACATCACTCTGGTTGAAAAGAGATGCAAGACTTGATAAGATGAAAAGAACTTGAGCAGAGGACACAACACTCATGTTAAATGGATAAGCAAGAAAAATAACATGATATTTACAAAATGAAATGATGGGTCGAAGAGAGTAACATCACAATGCCTCCAGAACAAATGAGTGGAATGAAAAGAACGGATAAGAGAACATCAACTTCCACCATGACTGAACATGAAGGAGCCTTCCTACGAAGAAGGGTTGAACGGAGTTGTTGAAAAATCAACAACAAAAAGATATGGTTCCCGTGGATTTATGGAAAACATCTCAAAATTATGAGGTGACGACCAGCCACTAACGGAATCAATCAATTTGATTGAGAACACCAAAGAGATGAAAAACTTCTTCCACCAAGATGATAAAGAGATAACTTGGATCATTGTTAAGCACCACAATTAGCAACATTCCTTAGGGAAGGCTTTAGGTGTAATCTAACCCAAGATAACTCCAATGAAGAGATTGATGGGTTGCAAAGGATCTCCTGAACGAAGAGAAAATGATGGGTTTAAATATCTCATCCGTGACCACTTGCGAATCATGAAATACGAAGGGAAATTGTCAAGAATGACATAAGACCACCTTAAAAGATAATGTACAAAGAATTGCACTTCGGACGCAAGGTGAAGAATGCTTGAACTCCTCCAAAAAAGACATGTGTTGAGCACCCTTTTTAATTTTAAGTATAGCTTGGCGGATCATAACTGCGAGAGAAATCTTGAAGAACAATTGAAGAATGAAAAGAATCCTTGACGAACAACCATGTAGAGTCTCCATGAAGAACTCCGGTAATAAAAGAATGATCAAACGAAAGGAAAATTGAAAATAACTCCGGGATTAGCCTTGCAATGATTAGATGGAGCTTTGAAATGACATATTTGAAATAACTTGGAGCTCCGGAAAAAAAAAGATGAAGCTTCTCGAACCAAGAAATGTGACATGATGAACCACTCTGGAAAGAAGAAACTAGATCACTTGAATGAAACAAAAATAAGAATTACATTAAACGTATCCTTCACCAATTTAAAATGATGACAAGCCACAGATTTGGCATACTACTTATTCTCGTAGAAAGGTTTAAGAGAGAGATAGCGTAAACTTGAGAAGGTCTTCAACGATCCACCGGTAGGATTGAAACAACGAATAAATAGATATTGTAACCAAGGAAGAGGAATCTTGAGCAAACCGCCGTAAGAATTGAAAATGAAATTAGCAACAACTGTCGCTACACCTATTCAATTGATGAAGGGATGCAGATAGTCTGGGCCTAATACCAAACAGACATCGCAGCCAAACCTAAACATCTAAGAACTAAGGTTCTAACCAGGACGCCTGCCGGGTATGGGGCACCTACCAGTCCGGCACACTCCTCAACCGGGACGCCTGCCGGGTATGAGGCCGCCGCAGCCACCTGCCACCAATCCATCTTCAAAGCTGTACTGTTGCATGTACCGTGCCAGGTCTATCTGCCATCGACGCCACCACGACGTCCGACAACCTCGTCCTCCTGCGCGAGTCCATCCTCCCACAGCGAACTCCGAATCTGCACTGCGCCACACCGTCAAGATCCGTCGCCATCAGTGTGTAGGATGAATCACCGCTCCACCAAAGAATCCGTCTTCTGGTCCCCCAATCACGTGTGTACCTCCAAGAATGACGCCCCCAAGGAAGGAACGACACCAAAGCGCCGCCGTCATCCAATCATCCGATCTAGGGTTCCCCCGGAGATAGCAGAGAGTGGCCTTGAACTTCTCCACGGCGATGCCATCAAGAAAGGAACGACGCAGATAGCGCCGCCATCGCCGGCCTTAGCAGACGCCGAAGACAAGTTTTCACCCAGATCAGTTCGAAGGGATCCAACTTTCGTGCACGGGCCGCCGTCACCACCAGCACCACCAGGCAGAACCCTAGAGCACCGGCAGATCAGCGAGCCGCCGGCACCACCGCATCCAGATCACCGGCCACGCCGGGACGCCGCCATCCCCCGCGCCGTCCGGGTCAAAGAAGGAGTCACCGACCGCGCACAGGGACCACCGCCGCCTACACACGTCGGAGCGTCACCGAGAGCCCAGCGCCCGCCACCGCTTGCCGAGGGCCACCGCCGCGCGCCCCGAGCGGACTCCCACACACACCAGAAGAAACCGCGAGTGTGAGCCCTGCCGTCGCCCCAAGCCCACGCCGGCGCGCCCCTCCTCCAGCGTGCCGCCAAAAACCGCCGCGATCCGCCCGCGCCAGATCTAGCGAGTCATGGGAGAAGAGATCCCGCCGCCGCCGATGCCGACCGGGCTTTGACCGGCGGCGGCGAGGAGGAGAGATCGGGGGAGGGACGAGGACGCGGCGGCGCTAGGGTTCCCCCCGGTCGCCGCGCAGGGGCGACCCGGGAGGAGTCGGGAGGAGATCATCTTTCCTTCTTGCTTTGACGTACGTACATCATTTCCTCTCATCTCAAGTACATATAGACAAAGCTACCTACGCGGCTACGCCCACTTCTTCCTCCCTCCTTCGTCTGCTTTACTGAAGTGGAGAAATGCATGTCTAGTAGTGATCGTTTCGTGTAAGTAGGCAGTATCCGTTTTGGGCATGCTGGCTACTTGAGGAACGCAGAGGCCCCTTACGTGTCGACCTCCCTGCGGTGTGTTTGCTGCGCGAAAGTGCCAGCTGAATTTCAACACAAGTCGGAACTCATGCCACACCTAGCAAGTGGATGCACAGAAGACGGCATGCACCTCGACACCGCAGGGAAGATCGTCGAAGGAGTGAGTTTGTATATGGTCAAACTTCTAAAGTTTCCCGGAAGATCGTCAAGGGGGTGATCATGAAAGGGCGGAAGACCTCGTCTAGTAGTTTAGGCCAGGATTTTTAGTCCTCTCGCAGGGGTGGCCGTTTAGCAGGGTGCTGGCGCTTCATCTTTGAAGCCATGTCAACTGAAATAATCTAATGAAATTCGAGCTTTGATCATCATACACAGAAACTTGAAGGTATTGTCTTATTGTCTTGATCTAGCATCATGGAGAACGAATCATCTAGAGTTGGTTTTCCGGGCTCTGGTCTTTCTCGAGTTCGTTCACAACAAAGTTTGCCAGGCGGTAAAGGTTTTTCTTTCTTTCTCAAGTCATTACGCCTCTAAAACTTGTAAAAGTTGAAGATCTCCACAACAAAGCACAGGGTGTCTTGTAATTTTTATGTAAGTAGTCTCTCCCACTACGCACTTATTTCTATCTAGATAAAGCTTCTCCCACATAAAGACACATCGTCATACATGTCGATGCCATTAGTTTTAGATTTCTTGTACGGATGCAGAAACACAGTTCAAGCAAGTATAGAACACACGCACGAGACATGACATTATCATGGAGGCCGAATAATCTAGCTACTCCGTCTTGGAGGAACCAATGACTGCAACCTGAGCTTCAATGCAGCACTTTGTCTTCACGAGATAACCTTTTGAGGAGTCCTTGAAGTCTTCCAGCGATATGAACTTCTCCCATCCCCATGTCAA